AGGGTGGCACCGGCTCAGCGCAGTCTATCTTTCTCACCTGTCATGAGGCGGTATTTGAGCAGGGTATCCTTGATGATATCGTAGGTCACCAGTTCAGTGCAATTCACAATGGCGTTTCTGGATACGTTGGGAAGGGTCCCTAGTTGTGTGAGAAAAAAACAACACACACAAACACACATTGAGAAAAGGGGAAGCCAGCCTGCCTTGCAGAGAGATTCACGGGCCATGCGCAGAGTGTCCGGTCAATGACCGGAGGGAGGGTTCGGAAAAGATGCACAAGGCATAGCCAAAATGTGCCATGTCATTAACACCCAAACATGCAGATAGTCCTCAAGGTATGAGGGCAATGGAGCCGAACATTCCTGGTTGCTAAAATTTCTGTTCTGTTCTGTTAGCGGCGGAAATTTCAGGCTTTGTTGTGGCCGAACGTTGAGGACTAGCTCTTTTAATGCTATTTATTCCAGCAAGTTACACAGCGCCCCCTCATTCAGTATGCAGATTAAAGGCAGCACTCTCCATTACAGAAGAAGGCAATCAGGCCATTTCATTAAAACGTCGTTAAAAATATAAAAGCACAAAAACACAGGAGGAGGAGAAAAAATAATAATATTCATCAAACGGGTTATATCACCCCTTGAGCAAACGTCCAGGTCTTTAATGACCTCCAGAAGGCTGGCCGGCTTGCGGGGGGGGGGGCTCAGAAGGATGTTGGCCCGGGGTGTGTGTGCCACTCTGAAGGACACTGGCAGTGATGGGACCCCAACTGTGGTGGCCCGCGTCAAATCTTGAATAGAATAGAATAGAATAGAATAGAATAGAATAGAATAGAATAGAATAGAATAGAATAGAATAGAATAGAATATAGTAGAGTAGAATAGAATTACAGAATGGAAATACAGAACAGAATAGAACAGAACAGAACAGAACAGAATAGAATAGAATTAGAAATACAGAACAGAACAGAATAGAATTAAAGTAGAATAGAATAGAATTAAGAATTAAAGTAGAATAGAATAGAGTAGAATTAAGAATTAAAATAGAATAGAATAGAATTAAGAATTAAAGTAGAATAGAATTAAGAATTAAAGTAGAATAGAATAGAATTAAGAATTAAAGTAGAATAGAATAGAATTAAAGTAGACTAGACTAGAATTAAGAATTAAAGTAGAATAGAATAGAATTAAGAATTAAAAGTAGAATAGAATAGAATTAAGAATTAAAAATAGAACAGAATAAAATTAAGAATTAAAGTAGAATAGAATAGAATAGAATAGAATAGAATAGAATAGAATAGAATAGAATAGAAGCTGGAAGGGACCTTGGAGGTCTTCTAGTCCAACCCCCTGACCAAGCAAAAGAACCTACACCATCTCAGACAAGTGACTATCTAGTCTCTTCTTAAAAACCTCCAGTGATAGAGCGCCCACGATTTCTGGTGGCAAGCTGTTCCACTGGTTAATTGTCCTCACTGTCAGGAAGATAGGAGACTGGCAGTCCAGGTTTGCCCCCCCCCTCAACCCTGATGGCTCACACAGAACGGGGTGGGTTCCCTGGTACAAGGTTGGGGGACGTCCCAGTCTTTGCACCCCTTACCCACCTTTCCACAGGCCCCGGACCCCCTCTTCCTTGGCGATGGTCTTGTAGGCGTGCAACGTGCCCTGGTAGCGCCGTCCAGCATCTGTCCGGATCTGGGCCTGGAATCGCACCTTGACCACGTCTGTGGGCTGGGCCACCATCACCGCCATCGCCCCCGTGGTGCCACCGGCAAGTAGCCGGCTGCCCACGCCAACATCTGCCAAAGTCCGGGGGGAATAAAAAAATGAAACTTTGATTCTCTTTTTGTGAGCCAGATAGGCTTATTGTTTCAGAAATGGCTTGTATATCTATTGTGTAAAAGCAAAAATGTTGTGGTTGTAATGTTGTTAACCTTTTACTGCGCTAAAGAGCGTCGGAAGTCAGTGCCTCTTCCTCATTTACATTATCCCTCCCCTTTCCCCCCTCCCTCTTCTTTCAGTTTTCTACGCTTTTTTTTCCTTGCGTTTTTATGCTTCGATAAAATTAATCAAATAAAATCATATAAAAAAAAAACTTTCAGCAGTTCATTGAGCAGCCGTCCGAAGTGACAACGGCACGGGAAAAAAGGGACTTAGGACCATTTTTTCACACTTAGGACCGCGGCAGCGTTCCCCAGGGTCACGTGATCAAAATTCGGAGGCTTGGCCCTTGACTTGTATTTATTTTTATATATATATAACTGCAGTATAGCAGTTAAAAATGTCAAGGTATCAATATGGGAGAAAGGAATCTTTTTTTTGCCTGTATCAGCTCAAACTAGAGCCATCCGCAGGCTTAGCAGTTGCAACTGCTATAATATTTTATTAATTTTCCAATTTTACATCTGAGTATTTAAAAAGCAACGTGGTAACTGGGTTAATCAATAGTTCGATAACAAAACCTTTAATGCAAATCTCAGGTTACAACATCAGATTTTTCTTCTCTTTTTCCCCTTAACATTTACGGTCTCGTATTCAAGCTGGTCCATTTCTAATTATATCAACTCAATCAAAACATCGTTATTACATTTATCAATAATGTTTTAGCTGATACATGTCTTAATTACACGCAATCTTCATAGACAAACCATGTCCTGTTATTAATTTTTACGTAATGTTTAATTTCTCACCAATATTCCAATTTAACCTTTGATATGCATCATTTTCAGACTTTGGGCACTTGACTCGTATTTATGACGGTCGCGGTGCCCTGGGGGGGCTTTGTCACGTGATCTCCTTTTGCGACCTTCCCACAAGCCAAGTTCCATGGGGAAGCCGGATTCACTACGATGACTACAATCACGGTTTAGCCCTTATTGCTTTTACGTACAGTGCGAGCTTTTATGTACAGTGCGAGCTTCAGCACCGGAGACAAATTCCTTGTGTGTCCAATCAACTCTTGGCCAATAAAGAATTCGAACAATTGCAGTGACTCAACTGTGGCAAGAAACGTCGTAAAACGGGCCAAGGCTCACTTAACGACTGTCTTGCTTAGTGACATCATTTTGGGGCTCAATTGTGGCAAGGATGACCTGGACATGTCAGGAAGAACCCTTGGCATCCCACCTGGTCCCCGATGCCCACTTACGCTCGGATCCCTTGGTGTAGAAGTGTTTCACGGAGTCGTAGAGTCCGATCCGGACCGAGGCGAAGCTCATTTGGCGCTGAAGGCCGGCTACTAGCCCGTTGTAGAGGCTCTTGGGCCCCTCGTTTTTCACCATCGTGGCCATGGTGCCAAAGACCCCCTTGTACTGCGCCGTTTTGGGGGTGACGTTGGCCTTCTTCTCTCCTTGGATCTGAACAGGAAGAAATGGGGGGAAGGATAGAGCATAGAATCACAGGGACCTGGGAGGTCTTCTAGTCCAGCCCCCTGCTCAAGCAGGAGACCCTACTCCACTGTGGACAAATAGTTCTCCAATCTCTTCTTGAAAACCTCCAGCGATGGAGCATCCACAACTTCTGAAGGACAATAGGTCTTACAATCCATAGCGGCCGTGATTGAGATCAAACCATGATTGAGATTTTGAGCTAGATTTCTCAGCCTTGATCAATTGCAGACAGGCGTGTCCCACCAGCGCCCCCCCACACCTACCGGACAGGAGAAGTCAAATAAGGACCTAGCTTGGAATCCTTGCGCAGCCACAAGCGTCATCAGCTTGAGCTGCCCCAAGATCCACGAAGCCTTAATTGGTCGTTCCCAGGGGAAAACAAACAGCCCGGGAGGATTCTTGTAATATGTACGGCAAGCAATAAAGTCACCGACTTTTGGTACTCATAAGAAACTACAGGTAGTCCTCAACTTACAGCAGTCCGACCGTTCAAAGTTAGCACTGGAAAAAATGACTTATGACCGGTTTTCACGCTTACGGCCGTGACAGCATCTCCGCGGTCACGGGATCAAAATTCAGACGTGTGGCCACTGGTTCCTATTTATGACGGTCGCAGTGTCCCTGGGGGGGGTCCTGGGATCCCCTTTTGTGACCTTCTGACAAGCCAAGTCAATGAGGGAAGCCGGATTCACTTAGCAACAATATGAATCATTTAACAACTGTGGTGACTCGCTTAACAACGGTGGCAAGAAAGGTCATAAAATGGGGCAGTTCATTTACACCCATCTCACTTAGTAACAGAAATTTTGGCTTCAATTGTGGTCGTAAGCCGAGGACTACCTGTATCTATGGCAAAGAATAAAGTGGCCAACTTTAACGATTCACAAGAAACTATGGTTCATTGCAGCTGTCGTTACCTGATCCCAGAATTGTCTGGCCTGCTTCAGCCTTCTGCAACCTGATGCCTCCTGCAGATGTTTGGGTCAAGCATCTCCCTTCCTAAAAGACCAGGTTGGAGAAGGCCTACTCTGGTTGACCCCGGAGGTTGAATGTTAATCCTGGGCTGTAGCAAAACTAGGCAGCCCAGCAGCTCAATGGTTAAGGTACTGGGCTTGCTAACTGGAAAACTGGGAGCCCGGGTTTGAGACCCGAGCGCCATGTGATAGGGTGAGCTCCCGTCCTTGCCTCAGCTCCTGCCAACCCAGCAATTCGAAAGCACGCAAATGCGAGTAGATAAATAGGTACCATTTCGGCGGGAAGGTGACAGCGTTCTGTGACGTCATGCTAGCCACGTGACCGTGGAAACGTCTTTGAACACCGCCGGCTCAATGGCCTTGATTCGGAGATGAGCACAGCCTCTTAGAGTCGGCAATGACTAGCAGAGTAAAATCCGCAGGGATTCCTTTCCCCTTTTACCTAGAAAAACTGGGAGTTGCTGGTATCCCCTCCACCTTTGGAGAATCAACAGTGCAAAACATCGCCAGGCGCTCACCTGTAACCGGACCTTTGCCGTATCCAGCGGGAAGGTGATCAAGTCGGCGATGCAGGCCGCCGTCCCGGCCCCCAAAAACTTGACGGTCGCCGTCGGAGGGATATCGGAGGGCTTAAATCCAACCATGGCGACGAATTCAGGAGGGTTTTAGGCAGAGAGGAGGGGGTGAAGGGTTCAAAAGCAGCCAGGAAAAGCAGCTGAGGAGCCGGGGTGCCGAAAGGCCAGAGGAAGGAGCTCCGCCTATACGGAAGAGAAAAAGAAGAATATTCATTGTCCGCAGTCTGATCAACGCAGTTGAATCCTAAAATTTACTACTGTACCTTCTGGGAAGTTAATGGATTGGGTCAGAGTTACAAGTTCATTTAGTAACCATTCAAAATTACAACGGCACTGAAAAAAAGGGACTTATGACCCTTTTTCACACTTACGACCATTGCAGCACCCCCTCGTGGTCACACGACCAAAATTGAGACGCTTTGTGACTGACTTTTTTTTTGTATATATTTTATTAATTTTTGTAGGGTTAGAGTTAAGGTTAGGTTAGGGCAGGGGTAGGCAACCTTGGCTCTTTTATGACTCGGGGACTTCAACTCCCAGAATTCTTCAGCCAGCATGGGGGATCTTTGGCCCCTTCATGACTCGTGGACTTCAACACCCAGAATTCCTGAGCCATCATGGGGAAACTATGGCCCCCTTCATGACTTGGGGACTTCAACTCCCAGAATTCCTCAGCCAGGCATGGGGGAACTATGGCCCCTTCATGACTGGTGGACTTCATCTCCCAGAATTCCTCAGCCAGCATGGCTCAGCTTGGAAACCTCTCCCTTTCCCCTCAACATGGCTGGCTCAGGAATTCTGGGAGTTGAAGTCCACGCGTCATAAAAGAGCCAAGGTTGCCTACCACTGGGTTAGGGTTAGCATTAGGGCTGGGTTTTTTTTTTTAAGATAACATTCTTGATATTTAGCAAACAGCATATTGTCTGGGTTCATGTATTTAAAAAACAATAAGAGTTAATTTCTATATTATCATAATCAATATGTTAGTTAATCGCTCAATAGTCTTCTTACTAATATATATTCAATGTTACAAAGTACATATAATAATAATAATGATAAAGTTGGAAGGGACCTTGGAGGTCATCTAGTCCAACCCCCTGCTCAGGCAGGAAACCCTATACCATTTCAGACAAATGGCTGTCCAGTCTCTTCTTAAAAACTTCCAGTGTTGGAGCATTCACCGCATCTGGAGGCAGGTGGTTCCATTGGTTAATTGTTCTAACTGTCACGTTCCTTTCTTTCTAACTCGTTTTTCTAGACATTGGTAAAAATTATCCCACGTTCTAAAGTACACTGAGTCTTCTTTCTCTTTTATCTTTAATGTCAACAACACTTTTCTGGCTGGGGATGATGGGGGATGTAAATTTAGCATCCGCCTAGGGCCGAGGGGGCTGGTGAAAGCCGCCTCCAGTCAACCTTTGTTACAGATAAAGTGCCCAAAAAAATAAAATGCTTGAGGGGTTATTTCTTCGCTGCCCAAGTGAGTCAGCAAACATCTGTGTCTCGTTTTTTGAGGAAGTGACGAGGCAAGGCCTTTTACAAATTGAGTAATTTGCAAAACTCTGGGTGCCCCCACTTGACCTAAAATCCTATTTATTTGTGATTTTCTCAGAAAGGATGGTGAAGCTGACGGAGTTGACGGCGAGGGCAAAGCTGACTGTTTTAATGAAAGAGAAGAACTTAAATCAGTTTTGTTTCCACTCGGAAACCACTTCTGGACTTCATGCTTGAAACAAGCAAAAGGATGAGGGGAGACATGATAGCAGTCTTCCAGTATCTCAGGGGCTGCCCCAAAGAAGAGGGAGTCAAGCTCTTCTCCAAAGCATTAGAGGGCAGGGCAAGAAGCAACGGATGGAAACTAGTCAAGGAGAGAAGCAACCTACAACTAAGGAGAAATTTCCTGACAGGGAGAACAATTAACCAGTGGAACTCCTTGCCTCCAGAGGTTGTGGGTCTCCATCACTGGAGTTTTTAAAGAAGAGATTGGACACCAGAAGGCAGGACAAGAAGTAATGGATGGAAACTAATCAAGGAGAGAAGCAACCTGGAATTAAGGAGAAATTTCCTGACAGCGAGAACAATTAGCCAGTGGAACAACCTGCCTCCAGAAGCAGTGAATGCTCCAACACTGGAAGTTTTTAAGAAGAGACTGGACAGCCATTTGTCTGAAATGGTATAGAGTTTCATGCCTGAGCAGGGGGTTGGACTAGATGACCTCCCAGGTCACTTCCAACTTTATTATTACTATTAATTATTACTATTAATTATTACTATTAATTATTACTATTAATTATTATTATTATTATTATTATTATTATTATTATTATTATTATTATTATTCACACTTACACCCTTTGCAGCATCCCCGTGGTCCCGTGATCCAAATTTCAATGCTTGGCAACTGACATGTACTTATGACGGTTGCAGTGTGCCAGGGGTCATGTGATCCACTTTTGCGACCTTCTGACCAGCCAACTCAATGGGCCACCGAGATTCACTTAACAACTATAAAATTCACTTAAGAACTGCAGCGATTCGCTTAACGACAGTGACAAGAACGGTCGTAAAATGGGACAAAACTCACTTCACAACTGCCTGGCTTAGCAATGGAGATTTTGGGCACCTAGTCGTAAGTCAAGAATCCCCTGTTATCAAGCCACACTGGAGCTACCTCTTCAAGATTACCAAAAACAGAATTACCTTATTCAAGTATATCAGGATTGATCGATCGATCGATCGATCGGTTTGATCAAGCTTCTCTAAAGGATTCCCATTTGTCAAACTGGTTTAACACAAATCCAGCCGAACACCCTTGACGTGCCATAGAAAGACGGGCAGAAAGACGACCCCGAATAATCATAATATTTATCCTGCAGAGATAAAAGAATAAATTAAAATACCTGGATATAGGGCGGTGCTATTATTATTCGTTAGGACTGATGATTAATTATTGTGACTTTCCAGATCAGTGGTTCTGAACCTGGGCAACTTTAAGAAGGGTGGACTTCAACTCCCAGAATTTCCCAGCCAGCATAGTTGAAGTCCACCCCTCTTAAAGTTGCCGAAGCTTGAAAAACATTGTCTTAGATTCAACACTTTCTTTTGGGAGATCTCAGCAACGGCTCCGTTGTTGATCTGGCTTCGGACCAACAATTTTTGCTACACATCCTGATACTCAAGCAATTCCCAGAGACAGAACCAGCTCAGGCTGGCACCAGATTGGACGAAGACCGAAAATAAAAATAAATAAATTCCTTTTTAGTGAAATCAGCCACGGCCCAGATCCTACCACATCTGGATTATCTTCCAAGCAACACCCCAAAATCAGAAAAAGTCATTTAAGCAAACTAGAAAAGGAAGCTGGCAGGTAGATACGCAGCGAAAAATCCTTCCTTCGATCCACCATTCCTGATTTTATGGCTGGGAAATTACGCTTGCCCTAATTTTTTGCAGTTTGCAGCAAGTCAGAAAAACAGCTGGAGTTTACAGGTAGTTCTCGACTTACAACGGTTTATTTAGTGACCGTTCAAAGTTACAACGTCGCTGAAAAAAAGGGACTTATCTCCATTTTTCACACTTACGACCGTTTCAGGATCCCACGTGATCAAAATTTGGACGCTTGGCAACTGACTCATATTTATGATCGCAAAATGGGGTAAAGCTCACCAAACTGTTTCACTCAGCAACAGAAATTTTGGACTCAGTTCTGGTCGTAAGTTGAGGGCTAGGTGTAGGAAGTTTTTCTGGCCATTTGTTTTTGGGTTCCCAGGTTAGCCTGTAAATCTGAGATTGCTGATCCCCGTGCATTCAAATATTAACTTAATCAAGTACAGCCAAGTACCGTCAAATTTTAGCTATTTACAGGTGGTCCTCAAGTTACAACCAAAATGGAGCCTGCCCATCGTGGTCGTAAACGCACGACAGTTGTCCAGCAGGTCAGTCATACAACGGATCTGATTTTATGACGGTTTGTGCTGGTCGTTAAGCAAACTCAGGGTTCGCCATGGCTGGGTTTTGTTGAAAACCGGAAGCAAATAAATCTTTTTTTTTTTTGGCAAAACTATCGCAAAATGATGGATGCTGCAAAGGGCTGTAAATTCAGCTCGGTTCCCGAAGTGCAAACAAGAGGCTGGGTGATAGTGGTGGGGTGGTTGGGGGATGGACCATCAGAACTTCGAATGTGGGGTGTGTGTCAATCAGAGTGGAGCTGGAGGGGACCTTGGAGGTCATCTAGTCCAACCCCCTGCTCAAGCAGGAGACCCTGTACCATTTCAGACAGGTGGCTGTCCAGTCTCTTCTTAAAAGCCTCCAGTGATGGAGAAGGAGGGAGGGAGGGAGGGAGGGAGGGAAGGAAGGAAGGAAGGAAGGAAGGAAGGAAGGAAGGAAGGAAGGAAGGAAGGAAGGAAAAAAGAACAGCAGAATAACAGTTGGAAGGGACCTTGGAGGTCATCTAATCCAACCGCCTGCTCAAGCAGGAGACCCTGTAACATTTCAGACAAGTGGCTGTCCAGTCTCTTCTTAAAAGCCTCCAGTGATGGAGAAGGAAGGAAGGAAGGAAGGAAGGAACGAAGGAAGGAAGGAAGGAAGGAAGGAAGGATAACAGAGTTGGAAGGGACCTTGGAGGTCATCTAGTCCAACCACCTGCTCAAGCAGGAGACCCTATACCATTTCAGACAAGTGGCTGTCCAGTTTCTTCTTAAAAACCTCCAGTGATGGAGAAGGGAGGGAGGAAGGAAGGAAAGCAGAATAACAGAGTTGGAAGGGACCTTGGAGATCTTCTAGTCCAGCCCCCCGCTCAAGCAGGAGAATCTATACCATTTCAGACAAACAACTTTGTAACTTGGAAGTCACTAAAGGAACTGTTGTAAATTGAGGACTACCTCCATTTGCATTCTCCTGCCACATATTTTCAAATTATTTGATTTTATTCTATTGGTTTGCTGCCCGTCTCTCCCACTCCAGCCTCCAGAACTGGCCTTTCCTGGTGGTCTCCCATCCAAGGACTCACGCCAAGCCCCGCCCAACCAGGTCCCATCACCTCCTGCAACAAGATTGTATTAAAACAAAAC